TGACACCCAAACCTCAAAACAACTCAACTTCTCCTTTCAGGGAGCTGAGAAAAAGTCCCAAATGCTACAAGAGGTGTTGATCTTGGGCCTTTGTCGGCCCTGGCCAAGGTGAGAGAGGAAATCTTTCATGAAGACCATAGAGAGGTACCATGAACTCAGGCTCAAACCCAAGCCAGGTTCCCACCATGGTCCAGCCATGGCTGCCTGTGGTGTGGCCTGGGGAACCCAGACAGCAGTGGGTTGACTTGTGTCCCTTCAAAAGATATGCTCACATCCTGATCCCTGGAACCCATCATGAAGGGGACATTATTTAGAAATAGGGTTTCTGCAGATATAACTAGAATAAGGATACTGAGGTGAGACCGTCCTGGATTTATGGTGGGCCCTGAATCCAATAACAAGTGTCCTTATATGAGGAAGGAAGTTAGAGACACGGAGACACAAAGGGAAGAAGGCCGTGTGCAGGTAGAGACAGAGATCGGAGAGATGATACCACAAGCTGAGCGATGAACACTGAAGGGCTGTTGGTGGCCATCAGAAGCCTGGAGAGGGGCCTGGGACAGATTCTCCCTCAGAGCCTCCAGAAGGATCCCACCAGGCCCACAACTTGATTTCAGACTTCTGACCTCCAGGGCTGTGACAGAATCAATTCTTGTTTGTTTTAAGCACCCAACCCACCCCCACCCTTGTTTGTGGTACTTCGTGAAGGCAGCCCCAGGACACTTGCACACCAGCATGCCTCTCCGGGACCCTCATTCCTCATCTTTAAAATGGGCAGAGATGTTGTAAGGATGCAGAGAGATGGAAACTGGACCCAAAGGCACAATAACAAATTATTCCTGTTATTAGAAAGTGACTCTTGGCTTAGCTCAGAATGGCTGGAACTTGTGAACAATTTGTAAACGGTCAGAGCTGGAACGAAGACTTGGTCTCGTGGAATCCAGAGCTGTGACTCTAAGACAGTCATTCTCGGGCGCCTGGGTGGCTCAGTTGGTTAAGCGACTGCCTTCGGCTCAGGTCATGATCCTGGGGTCCCGGGATCGAGTCCCACATTGGGCTCCCTGCTCAGCTGGGGGTCTGCTTCCCCCTCTGCCCTCTTCCCTCTCGTGCTCTCTGTCTCTCATTCTCTCTCTCTCTCAAATAAATAAATAAAATCTTTAAAAAAAAGAAAAAAAAATAAGACAGTCATTCTCACCTGGGGAATAATCTGCCCCAGGGGACACTGAGTGATGTCTGGGGACATTTTCGGTTGTCACACGGCGGGGGGGGGTGGAGCTGCTGGTATCTGGTGGGTGGAGGCCAGGAGTATGGCTCAGCATCCTGCAGTGCACAGGACGGCCCCGCCAGGGAATGGCCCAGGCCCAGACGTCAGTGGTGCTCTGGCCGAGAAGTCCAGCTCTAAACTAAAACAATCTTCTCCCTTTCCAAACGGTCGCCCCAGGAAGCACATTTATGGCCATGACGTGGACTTGGCTCCAGTCTGTTTTGGAAGTCGACGTGGGCACCGCCCTCCAGCAGCTCCTACCCTAACCGCTGGGGAAATTCGGCCTTGCCCGCTCACACTGCGGAGGCTGGAGGGAGGCAGCCGGGCGGGGTCAGAGGCATCTGACTCACGAGGTGCAGACACTAGGCAAGAAGGGTGACTAATGGCCCTGGAAAAATGTGCCAGAATCCCTTGGGGCAGCTTCAGGGGAGGAGCTCCCAGGACCACTAGGGGCAGGGGCGGCCCTTGGGGAAGAAGGCACGGACGCTGCTGCCAGCTCGCTGCCAACCGTCACTCGCTCCACAGGGGCTTGCTATGGGCAGACTTGTCACCAAGGACGTCCACGTTCGGACCCCTATGAGTGGAGCCTTATTTGGAAATGGGGTCTTTGCTGATGTAATTAGTGAGGATCAGGTCATCCTGCATTAGGGCGGGCCCTAAATCCAATGACTGATGTCTTTATAAGAAAAGGCCACGTGACCAGAGGCAGAAATTGGGGTGGTGGGGCCAAGAGCCAAGGAACGCTAGAGACTCTAGAAGCAGGAAGAGGTGAGGAAGGATCCTCCCCCAGGGCCTTCAAAGGGGGCATGGCCCTGCTGACCCCCTGAACTCACTTTTGTCAGAGAAGAGGTTTCTGTTGTTTGAAGCCACCCAGTTTGTGGTCATTTGTCATGGGATTCATCGGATCTCAGCCCGCTGCCCTGGCTGGTCCTCAGCCAGAAAAGGAAACAGCACCACGGTGCCAAACCTGCCTCTTCACCGTGTTGTGTTGAGACCTCTAGGCTCAGAGTCCACATGGAGCACGGACACAGCCACGTGCCTGCCTGGTTTGGTGAAGGGTAAATGGTCCACTTGGCAGAACACCTGATTTGGCAAATGCTGGATCCGCCCTCTTGTTCACGCACTTCTGACGTCACTGACAGCCTGCTCCATTTCATCTGGGACTGTGGTGCCAGGCTTTGGCCTAGAGCACCCGCCATGGCCCCTAACTGGTGCTTCCAGGCAGCTGCACTGAGGCTGAGTTCTGGAGCTGGGATGGCATCAGATCAATCTACCAATGCCCTGTGTAGCTCCCATGTCACACAAACCCCGTAGCTCACAAGATCCCAAACGATCTGCCCATCACCTCCCTATCACCTCCCTGTCCCCACTGCCTCCTGTTCTGCCCCTTGCTTACTCTGCTCTGGCCCCATCTTGTACCCTGCAGGCCCCCTGCCTTCCTTGCAGCACTCGAGGCACAGCCTAGCCTCCGACCCTTTGTGCTGGCTCACCTGACCTCCTTCTGGGCCCAGCTCAGTGTCACCTCTCACCTCCTGCTCCCTTAAGCCTTTTTCCTTGGGCATGCCTGATGTTCTTATTGGCACTTAGCTCGCATACGAGGCCTGCTATTTTGTTGCCAGCCTCCTCATCACTGGGGCGACTGCTCTGAGAGGGCAGGCCTTTGTGTAGATTTGGGCTGCCACGTAGCCCGGGGTCTAGAACGGTGCCTGGCACATGGCAGACATGCTCACGGAATATTTGTAAAAGGCACAGATGATCAAAACAAAGGAGACAAGACATGCAGGGTACATAGCATTAAAGAGAAAAACACACTCTGTGGCTGATTATTCCAGCTTTTAAAATGGTTGCACAATATATACATACATACATAGAAGAAACAGGCTGGCTATACGTGGGGCCAGACTGTACAACCCCATGTAATTTCTTGATGATCTCAGAGATCATCAGAGAGGAAAAGGAACTGAAATGTACTCAGCAGGCATAGCCTAGATAGGCTTTCAGTGAATTTGCATGGCAGCAAGGTGGCTGCATCAGGCCTTCAGCTTGGGGTGGAGGGGATCGGCCGGAGGCTAATACTCTGGGGTGGGTAGGTCCCCTACCCCTTACCCCACGAGAGGACGGTCTGGGGTCCTGTGGATGGACAGACTACAGCACGCCCAGAGAATGCGGCGTTATGCAGAAAGACGAAGAAATGAGCTCTGGGGCCACTAAGGAACCTTAAATGTACGTTACTAAGTGAAAGGAGCTGGTCTTAAAAGGCTAGGGCCAGGATGAATCCAACTCTACGGCATTCAGGAAAAGGCAAAACTATGGAGCCAGTAAAAGGATGCGTGGCTGCCGGGGCTGCGGGGAGGGATGAACAGGAGGTGCCCAGGACTTGCGGACAGTGGAATTACTCCATAGGACAGTGTCATGGTACATACGTGACATTGTGCCTTTGTCCAGACCCACGGAATATACAACACCAAGAGTGAACCCCAGTGTAAATCATGGACTTCGGTTAATAATCATGTGTTGATAGTGGCTCATCTATTGTAACAAATGTACCACGCTAATGCAAGATGTTAATAATGGGGAAAGCATGGGGAGGGGGAGTGGGGGCGTATATAGGAACCCTCTGTACTGTCTGCTCAACATCTCTATAAATCTAAACTGCTCTAAAAAATATAATAACTTACTATATTTAACAAAACTTATTTAGAATTACTTACTTATTATAATATCTAATTAGAGAAAAAATTGAACACAGCTCTGAACTCCAAACCTATAGGCACAGACCCTGGGCCCCTGCATCGTCCCAGCCCTCACCAGGTGATGACGATCAGAATGTCTGAGACATGGATGCATCTGGTCCCAAGACCCCCAGAGTGAGGGATGCTGTGTGGTCATTGCCACCGCCCCTGCATCCAGAAGGCTCAGCCACAATGATGCATCATCAGTGGCTTCTGTGGAGTTTGGCCAATGGGGACCCTGGATGGAGGGTGGAGGGCACTTCCGCCCCCACTGCCTTTATGGTGATGCCAGGAGGCCCCCTCCCTCGGCATCGCTGTCCCCTACGCCCTAGGTCTGCACCCTGCCTTGCCAGCTCCCTTCCATACCACGGGCTGCATCGCTGACAACACCTGGTCATGAATTGCTCAGTTTGGACACGCCATCCTTTTCTTTCTGGGAACTGGAGTATAGACGGCTACCACATAGCTATCAATGGTGTATTCACCAGGCCTTCCCCCCACCCCTACATTCTGATGCTTTCCTATCGGGTGGACCTGGCTGACCTTGAAAGGACTGCCCCTCCCAGGGCTAGCTAACTGTTGAGAGCAAAGGACTTGCCTGTGAGTCTGCCTTACGTATGCAAACCAACCATTCCGGAGCCCATACCCCCACCACGTCTGTTCTCAGGCTCTCGCACTCTGGGCCACTAGCTCCTGCCCTGATCACCCCAGGGCCAGGGTAGCCCCTACTTCCCAGATCCCCGGAATTATTCAACCGAGCCAATCCTAAGCCTGCAGACCACCGGCTCACCCATTCCTTCCCATGAAAACCACAGCAGAGACTCTGCCCACGTTTCCCCTAATCCAGCTGTCTCCCCACCAGCCCTGGTGCTTCCCAGTGTGGCCCTGCGTGGCTTGCTGAGCAGCGCCCCCAACAATTTTTAGGAAACTAAAAGTGAGTATAACCAACTACGTTCTCGAGGGCAGTGGTCTCACCAGAACTGAACGAGAATAAAACCCATGCGTTAAGGCAGAGGGCCCCTCCCGCCGACAGCCCAGCTCACCTCCAGCACGGGGCCGGCGCCCAGGATGGTCCTCTCGACACCACTGGCGTAGCCCTTCTGGCTCAGTGCGGTGAGGCAGTGGATCAGGAAGTTGGTGCTCTGCGTCTTGCCCGAGCCGCTCTCACCCGAGATCACGATGCACTGATTGACCCGCTTTCGGAGCATGGCGTAGTAGGCCACGTCGGCCAGCGCGAACACGTGCGGCTCCAGCTTGCCCAGCTGCTGGTTCTCGTACATCTTCACGTACTTGGGGTTGTAGATGGGGAGGAACTTGAAGGGATTGACAGCCACCAGGATGCTCCCGGCGTATGTGTAGATCTTCTGCTGCAGGAAGCGGTGCTTGAGGTTCTTGAGGAGGTTCTCCTCGGTCAGCTCGGGGAGGTTGCACAGATCGTCAAAGTCTGCCTGCTGCCGGGGCAGGAGGCCGCGCTCCACCAGGCGCCGGGTGGCCGTGGCCTGGGACACCAGCTGCATGTGCACGTACTTGATGGTGCCATCCGCATTGCGCTCCTGCAGCAGGAAATAATAGCCGTCCTCCTGCGGGTGCTCGTCTTGGGCCCGCCGGGGCCACAGCAGCACGCGGTGCACAGGCGAGTCGTTGGCATCCAGCACCCACTCCTCCCCACCCGTCTCCTTCACCTCCACCAGCACGTAGCACTTGGTGCCATCCAGCTGCAGGCTGGCGATGGCATCCTGGATGACATCGGAAGTGGTGCTGTCCTTGGTGGCGGTCACGCAGCACGAGGCCCGGCTCTCGCTGGTGGCCAGCTGCGGGTAGATGTGCAGGTGGTAGGCTGCCTGCCCCCCGCGGCCGGAGCTGCCTGCCTCGTTCACACTCATCCTGCCGGTGGCCTGGCCTCAGCATGCCTCTCGGGCTCGAGGCGCACGTCCTGGAGCTGGAAGGGAGGTGGCGGCATGGTCAGAGTGGTGGGGGTGGTGGGGGGGGACGGCACTGACACCCACCCCTCGGCCAGAAGGAAATCCCCTGCCCCTAACAGAGCTCTCTCCAAAAGCAAGAGAGGCAGAGGAGCCTCCGTCTGTCCTTAAACGTGCCCCAACGTAAGGTTTGTGACTCTTGCAGAGTGACATCATCAGACCTCCTGCCCCGCAAGACCAGACTCGTCCCCTGGAGTTTGCTCCATCCCAACCCCTGTTCTTTTTTTTTTTTATTATTTTTAAAGATTCTATTTATTTATTTGAGAGAGAGAGAATGAGAGACAGAGAGCACGAGAGGGA